ATTTATTTTTTAGTTCTCGGTGGACACAACATCTTTGTTGGTATGTGGTGCTGAGGATCGAACCCGGGCCCCACGCATGCCAGGCGAGCGCGCTACCGCTTGAGCCACATCCCCAGCCCCCTGCACTTCAATTCTTTACTGTTTTTCTTTCTTTTTTTCTTTTTGGGTGGTGCTGGCGATTGAGCCTTGTGCATTTGAGGAGAGTACTTTATCACTGAGTTAAACCCGAACCTTTTTTATTTTTATTTTGAGATAGGGTCTAAGTTTTCTAAGCTGGCCTCAGCCTCTTAATTAACTGGGATTACATGTGTGTACCACAACACTCAGCTTGAACTGCCTTCTTTAAGTAGCAGAAAATTGCCCTGCCCTGGAAAGTATTTTGTTTGAGTATCTTATTTATTTATTTATTTTTATTTTTGTCAATGCTTATCTCAGAGAAATCAGATTATTATTTTTTTTAGTACTGGGGATTGAACTCAATTTTGAAACAGAATCTTGCTAAGTTGCTTAGGACTTTGCTAAGTTGCTGAGGCTGGCCTTGGATTTTCTTTTTCTTTTTTTTTTAATATTTGTTTTTTAGTTGGACACAATATCTTTATTTATTTATTTTTATGTGGTGCTAAGGATTGAACCCAGGGCCTCGCATGTGCTAGGGGAGTGCTGTACCACTGAGCCACAACCCCAGCCCCTGGCCTTAAATTTTCAATCTTCCTGCCTCAGCCTCCCAAGTCACTGATATTATAGGTGTGTGCTAGTGTGCCTGATGAGAAATCAGAAATTTTGATGAAATATTTGGTTTTAAAGTCTATTTCCCCACCTCTGGGATTTTCATATGCTTTTACTTACAGAGGACCTTAGTCTGTCTAAGGTCACCATTGAATAGCAAACACCCAGTCACTAAGCTATATTCCCAGCACTCTGAGTTTATTTTCTAAATCCAAATACTTTATTCCTTATCTTAAATTTGTCAGTTATTCATCTGAATTAAAGAGAATTAATTTATTTTCTGCTAGTCCATTTTACTCTAACATAATTTTTTTTTTATATATATTGGGGATTAAACCCAGGGGTGCTTAATAACCACTGAGCTACATACCCAATTTTTTTTATTTTGAGACAAAGTCTTGCTGAGTTGTTGAGGGTCTTGCTAAGTGCTGAGGCTTGCTTCAAACTTGCTATCCTCCTGCCTCAGCCTACTGAATTGCTAGGATTACAGGTATGTGCCATTGCACCCCAAATCTAACATATTTTGAAATCTTTTCCATATCTGATAGTATTATTTATATGGTACTTAAAGATGTCATAATCAGAAATAACTCACTCTTCATATTAAGTGAAGACTTATTTTATTTGAGATGACAAAATTAATAACCACATAATAATTCAAAGAGCTATTGGCCAGATAGATACTTGAAAGTCAGTTAATTAAGTGTCCAGACCATATTTTACCTTGCCCTTGGGCAATGAGCAAATTCCTTAGACTTAAGGAGGAATTCATTTACAGATGATCTAAGAAAAACTTGTCTTCTTTTTTCTTTAATAGCAAAACCAATACAATTTGCAAGAAATGTGCTCAGAATGTGCAGTTGTATGGAACGGTAAGTAAGATTTCTCTGTTCCTAACAGTGAGTACCTGGTTCTTTTGGAAATTTTTCTTCTGTAGACTATTAATGTCATTATAACATTTTTATTAGAACTAGTTATATTAATATATCTAGTATGTCATTTTTTAATCTATTTAATACTTACTATAATGGACTTCTGTGTTTATAGTTACTCTGTCAGGATTGATTATAATTTTCCTTGAGTGGCATTAGATGAGGTGAAAGATGAATTCTGTGTCTTGACTTCTCTGTTAATAGTTGACTATTTTGAAGAATTATCTTTTTTTTTTTTCTTCTTAATGTTAGTGTTCAGAATACTATTTCTAAGCTAGGTATAGTGGCTCATGCCTATAATTCCAGAAACTCAGGAGTCTTAAGGCAGGAGGTTGGCAAATTCCAGGCCAGCTTGAGAAACTTAGTGAGACTCTGTCTCAAAATAAAAAATTAAAAAGGGCTAGGGGTGTTGCTAAGTGATAAAGTGCCCCTGGGTTCAATCTGCAGTAACCTCCCCACCCCTACAGAAAAAAGAACATTATCTGTGCAGGCATTTTCCTGATATGTTTATACACTGATGATGGTAAAGTGGCCTTTTCAGATATTTGGAAGCACTTGCTGGTTTCTCCAAAGAACTGGTTCTGTTGCATTTCTCATAGAAATCTCATCATGCATACTAATGGGTTTTTGTCATTTGTTCATTTATTTAAGAAATAGTCTTGTGAAGAAAAATGTTTGTATTAAGAATAAGCTTTGGGGACTGGGGTTGTGGCTCAGTGGTAGAGCGCTTGCCTAGAATGTGTGAGGCTCTGGGTTTGATTCTCAGCACGACATATACATAAATGAATAAAATAAAGCCATCAACATCTTAAAAAAAAAAAAAAAAAGAGCACCATGAGTTCAAAGTCAGCCTCAGCAAAATCGAGGCGCTAAGCAACTCAGTGAGACTCTGTCTCTAATTAAATACAAAATAGGCTGAGGATGTGGCTCAGTTGTCGAGTGCCCCTGAGTTCAATTCCCAGTACCTCCCCCGCAAATGAGCTTCATTTGATCAACTTAAAAGCAAATTTATAAAGTTGGGAATATATTTTTACTTACTCTGTAGGAATTATTGCTTTACAAAAATGTACTGGTATTTTATCACATGTTTATTTGATGCATTTTTCCCCCTCTTTAAGCCCAAACCTTGTCAGTATTGCAACATAATTGCAGCATTTATTGGCAATAAATGCCAACGTTGCACAAATTCAGAGAAGAAGTATGGACCACCATATTCTTGTGAGCAGTGCAAGCAGCAGTGTGCGTTTGACAGGAAAGATGATAGAAAGAAGGTAAATATGTATTTTTCTTGATTTTTTTTTTCTTTCAGAGAAATTAAAGTGGGCCAATTATATTAAAAAGACATATAACAGTGCTCTATATGTGTAATGTGAAATGAATTGCATTCTGCCATCATGTATAACATAGTAGAATAAATAAATAATAAAAAAAACTTTATAAAAGACATATAACAGAGTTCCTTTCTTGGTTCTCCTCTTGGCCTTGAAGAAGATAATTAGACTGTTTAATTTATCAAATGTAAGCCATTATATTCCAACATTTTACAAGAATCCAAATTATAGGGATCAATATCCCTGTAATTGGAAATATTGTATTCTAGGTAGTAATTGGCAGAAGTCTATAGTAAATTCTGTAAGAAGAGGTTGTGACTTAAAATAGTGCTATTACTAGTATTACTAACTGATATCTGGTTCTTTAAATTTTTTTATTTTATTTATTTATTTATTTATTTATTTTTTTAGTATTGGAGATTAGACTCAAGGGTACTTGACCACTGAGCCACTTCCCCGTCCCTGTTTTGTATTTTATTTAGAGACAGGGTCTCACTGAGTTGCTTAGCGCCTTGCTGTTGCTGAGGCTGGCTTTGAACTCGCAATCCTCCTGCCTCAGCCTCCCGAGCTGCTGGGATTATAGGCATGGATCACTAAGCCCAGCTCTTTAAATGTTTTTATATGTTGAAGTTAAAAATCACAAGAAGCTGTGGCTGAGTTTGTGGCTCAGTAGTGGAGTGCTCGTCTTGCATGTGTGAGGCCCTGGGTTCAATTCTGAGCACCACATAAAAATGGAGGTGTTGTGTCTAACTACAACTAAAAAAAAATAAGATATTAAAAAAAAATCACAAGAAGCCGGATTCGGTGGCACATGTGTGTAATTCCAGCAGCTCAGGAGGCTGAGGCAGGAGGATCAAAGATTTCAAAGCCAGCCTCAGCAGTGTCATGATGCTAAGCAACTCAGTGAAAATCTGTCTCAATAAAAAATACAAAATAGGGCTGGGAATGTGGCTCAGTGATTGAGTGCCCCTGAGTTCAAACCCTGATAACCCCTTCTCCCCCACCAAAAAAATCACAAGAACATAGTTATTTAGTGTCCTGTTTAAAAATTTCCCATGGTTTCTGGTTATGCTTGAACTAAAACTCAAACTCCTTCCTTACTTGCAAGTCCTGTATCCAGCAGTCAGTCTCATCTTCCATCATGCTTCCAGTCTCTTCCCTTCTTCCATTCCTACTGGCTGCCTTTCAGTCCTTCAGACATGTTAGTCTCATTTCCTCAACACTGCCACCTTTAAGCTGGCTGTTCTTTTGCCCGATGTGCCCTCTCCACAGTGTTTCAACCCAGATGCTACCTCCTCACAGAGACCTTCTTTTACTACACTCCCACAATTACTACTCCTTATATCCAATTACTTTCTGTTATTGTCTTCATAGCATGTAACATTGTGAAAATTGATCTTGCTTATAAATAAGTATTTGTCCATTCCTGCTAAAAATTAGCTTTTTTCCCATCTTATTGTTTCTACTATATATTTCCAAAGGCGTGGCATATGGTATGTAATAAAATAATATTTGTTGACTAGAAGAATATAGTATAGAAATTCTTTTTCAGTGGCCAAAGGTAATTTTCAGAGATGCTTAAGCTTTCAAGAGCTGACTATTGCTAACCAAACATATTCATTTATTATGAAAGGATATAACTTTCAGTGACCAGAGTACTCCTGCCAACTAGGGTACCTTTCTCTGAGTCAAGATACTGGAGAAGGGGCTGGGGATGTGGCTCAAGCGGTAGCGCGCTCGCCTGGCATGCGTGCGGCCCGGGTTC